GACACCCGTGGCAGGTGGTGGCAGCTGGGTGCCACCCGTGGCAGGTGGTGGCAGGTTACTGGCACCCGGGGCAGGTGGCAGCAGGTGGTGATGCCCCACCTGCTTCTCCTCCTGCTCCTGCTCAACTCTGCTGCAGCAGACAAGGTCGTAGAGAGTCTTCGAGACGGCTTCGGCTACTACTACAAGATCGCTGGCTACGCCCTCAACGACACGGCTGACTACCAGGTCGTCCAAGTTAACAGTAGCTGTGAGTACTTGTTGATGGTGGTGGGTCACTGTGAGTACTCTTCGTGGTGGGTCACTGTGAGTACTTGTTGGTGGTGGTGGTGGGTCACTGAGTATTTCTTGGTGGTGGGTCACTATGAGTACTTGTTGGTAGTGGTGGGTCACTGTGAGTACTTCTTGGTGGTAGGTCACTGTGAGTACTTGTTGGTGGTGGTGGGTCACTGTGAGTACTTCTTGGTGGTTGGTCACTGTGAGTACTTCTTGGTGGTGGGTCACTGTGAGTACTTCTTGGTGGTGGGTCACTGTGAGTACTTGTTGGTGGTGGTGGGTCACTGAGTACTTCTTGGTGGTGGGTCACTATGAGTACTTGGTGGTGGTAGTGGGTCACTGTGAGTACTTGGTGGTGGTGGTGGTGGGTCACTGTGAGTACTTGTTGGTGGTGGGTCACTGTGAGTACTTGGTGGTAGTGGTGGGTCACTGTGAGTACTTGGTGGTGGTGGTGGTGGGTCACTGTGAGTACTTGTTGGTGGTGGTGGGTCACTGTGAGTACTTGGTGGTGGTGGTGGATCACTGTGAGTACTTGGTGGTGGGTCACTGTGAGTACTTGGTGGTGGGGGTGGGTCACTGTGAGTACTTCTTGGTGGTGGGTCACTATGAGTACTTGTTGGTGGTGGGTCACTGTGAGTACGTTGGTGGTGGTGGTGGGTCACTGTGAGTACTTGGTGGTGGTGGTGGTGGTAGTGGGTCACTGTGAGTACTTGGTGGTGGTGGTGGGTCACTGTGAGTACTTGTTGGTGGTGGTGGTGGTGGTGGTAGTGGGTCACTGTGAGTACTTGGTGGTGGTGGTGGGTCACTGTGAGTACTTGTTGGTGGTGGTGGGTCACTGTGAGTACTTGGTGGTGATGGTGGGTCACTGTGAGTACTTGGTGGTGATGGTGGGTCACTGTGAGTACTTGGTGGTGGTGGTGGGTCACTGTGAGTACTTGGTGGTGGTGGTGGGTCACTGTGAGTACATGTTGGTGGTGGGGTCACTGTGAGTACATGTTGGTGGTGGTGGGTCACTGTGAGTACTTGGTGGTGGTGGTGGGTCACTGTGAGTACTTGGTGGTGGTGGTGGTGGGTCACTGTGAGTACTTGGTGGTGGTGGTGGTGGGTCACTGTGAGTACTTGGTGGTGGTGGTGGTGGGTCACTGTGAGTACTTGTTGGTGGTGGTGGGTCACTGTGAGTACTTGGTGGTGGTGGTGGATCACTGTGAGTACTTGGTGGTGGTGGTGGGTCACTGTGAGTACTTGGTGGTGGGGGTGGGTCACTGTGAGTACTTCTTGGTGGTGGGTCACTATGAGTACTTGTTGGTGGTGGGTCACTGTGAGTACGTTGGTGGTGGTGGTGGGTCACTGTGAGTACTTGGTGGTGGTGGTGGTGGTAGTGGGTCACTGTGAGTACTTGGTGGTGGTGGTGGGTCACTGTGAGTACTTGTTGGTGGTGGTGGTGGTGGTGGTAGTGGGTCACTGTGAGTACTTGGTGGTGGTGGTGGGTCACTGTGAGTACTTGTTGGTGGTGGTGGGTCACTGTGAGTACTTGGTGGTGATGGTGGGTCACTGTGAGTACTTGGTGGTGATGGTGGGTCACTGTGAGTACTTGGTGGTGGTGGTGGGTCACTGTGAGTACTTGGTGGTGGTGGTGGGTCACTGTGAGTACATGTTGGTGGTGGGGTCACTGTGAGTACATGTTGGTGGTGGTGGGTCACTGTGAGTACTTGGTGGTGGTGGTGGGTCACTGTGAGTACTTGGTGGTGGTGGTGGTGGGTCACTGTGAGTACTTGGTGGTGGTGGTGGTGGGTCACTGTGAGTACTTGGTGGTGGTGGTGGTGGGTCACTGTGAGTACTTGGTGGTGGTGGTGGTGGGGGGTCACCGGTTTAGCTTAATCAGCAGCGTACGAACCACATAACCAATTGAGGAAACATCAGCATTTTAATCTTTTAATATAACTATTGCACCAGAATTTGGCACTTTGGTCAATAACGTAACGATTACTGTGTATTAAATGTTTGTGGTAGATGGTATAGACGCTGTTTCCTGTACGTTAACAATGTTGAAATGTTAAAATTGATCAATGAGTCTGTTGGGGGTCGGCCGCTGGAGGGAATGAACACAGCTGGAGGACTGGCAGGAGTCAACCCAGCAAATAATTTAAGGTTGCCACAACATATCTGGAAAGTATTTCAAAGGATTGGAAACGTTTGTTTTATCGTATCAGATACGATATTGTGTGTGGACTTTAATAGGTTTCCAAAACTTATAACCAAAACCTACGTATCTAACACTAATTTGAGTTGTTGTGGCAACTTTACAATCCTAACATGAATCATTCATAATCCATTCATATACCAATATGAATCTGATTATGAATAAAACCAATATGAAGCCAGCGATCTTATAGTAGTAGCCGAAGCCGTCTCGAAGACTCTCTACGACCTTGTCTGCTGCAGCAGAGTTGAGCAGGAGCAGGAGCAGGAGGAGCAGCAGGTGGGGCATCACCACCTGTAAAAACTATTTGTAATACATTAGGAACAAAATAGTTGTAGAAAAACAATTTATTATAAAACCTTTGTGTTTGGGTTTTTTTATTAAAAGTTTCTCAAAGGCTCTCCATCACCATTCTCAATGCAAATCATTCCCACACCTATGGGAAGAGATAGACGAACGTTTTCTAGATGATTTGTGTTTGCTGGGAAGTGTTTTGGCTGCTGTACAGAATGAACTTCTGGTCATGTTGGTGGGGCGGACCGATAATAACACAGTAGATGTATGTGTATAGAACTCTTAAATGGCTTAAATAAAACATAAATATTGTTTAAAATGAAACGCAAATTGTGAAGCACTTTAGGCATTATTGTGATTGTCGTGACCGCACGCACCTTCACCTCCCGTCACGCTGCTTCCCACGCCACTCGTTTTAGTTATACCTAGCTGTCGTTGGTCTTGTTAGAAGTCATGACTTCACAATGATGTCAAAATAACGTGATATACCTATGAAAATAACATCTGCATAATCTACCACAAATATATTACAATCACTGCATAATATAACACAAAACATCGTAACACTGTATTATACAACACCAAGTATCATAACAGTATCCTAATACAAAACAAAAACATTGCGATGCTAAACATCACAACATTACATGATGCAACATATAACATCGCAATACCACATAACTCAACAACTTACTACAAACACTTGAACTAACATCACTTCCCAATACGACAGCTCATACGAAAACATCACGATTTCTCTGGAAATAAAACCTGCTGCTATCTGGCGTTGGAAGGACAATAACACTATAGTTTATTGTTTTGTAACAGTCAGGAAACGTTCCAGCAAATGTCAACAAGAAAGTGTAGTTGAGGCCGGTGTATATAGTGTTCTGTTGACCAGTCGTCGTGACAACAGAGTCGGGTGGGGACGATTACCGTAGAAGATTACAATTATTGGGGACTGTTGACATCACAGCTCACCCCTGACGCACATGGACCACAGAGGGAAGGGAAGGAAAGGAAAGGAAGGGAAAGGAAAGGAAAGGAAAGGAAAGGAAAGGGAAGGGAACTATTATAAAAAAGCACCAAACCATTACATGTTTATTTAGCACTTGGAAAGATCAGGATGAGGATTTGGGATGGGAGAGCGGAATGGAAAGGGGCGCCAACCACTAGGACGGTCGGGGATTGAACGCCGACCTGCACGAAGCGAAATATAATAGTGGAAAAAATTGATTGGTTAGAAAGGTGGGGTCCAAGAGCTAAATAGCCCGATTCTGCAGACACAAATAGTAAATAAACACACACACACACACACACCAGCAAAGAGGCATGTTGGACAAATACACAACCCGCAGTGTAGGGAGTATGAGGAGTAAGGGAAACAGCCTAGTACACGAGTCACAAATTTATACGTACAAGTCACAGGATTACATTTAACAAGGCGTTTTCCTTACAACGTAAGATCACCAAGTATTATAACTCAAGTGGCTCAGACCACCCCACAGCTCACTGTCCCATTCCTGGTGTCATGCACCCAGCCACAAACCGCTATCATCCAACGACACATATATTTTTGCCTCTAGGAAACCTGGACTCTTATAAAACCTCTCCAACTTCTGCAATATTACTCTACCCAATCTTGCAACCCTGGATATAGACAAGGATAGGCTTATCTGACTGAACGGCCGGAGAAAACCTCTCAAATAGAAGGAACGGTCTGTAGCGATACATCTCCCAATTCAGTCAAGATGGCGTCCACTTCTCTTGCCTCATCGCCCCTTAATACTCTACTCTTTACATATGCTATCAAACACATTAATGAGTTTATTTACTATATTCCCCCATGCATACTTTTTTATAGAGTTCATTTTTCCCTTACATAGTAAAGCTATTCAAGTTCACATTATTTCTGATGATCTCCAGCTGAGAAGGCACTACTTTACTGGGCGGAGTAATAATGATGACTCGCGGCCTCTCTGATATCAGCTGGGGATTTATACTTATATACACTCTCCCTGTGTCCACCAACATTTTACAACCTAAACCAACCTCCACAGGAGGTAAGGTTCGTAACAGTCAACACACAGTGTGAGGGGAGTGGTCAACACACAGTGTGAGGGGGAGTGGTCAACACACTGTGTGAGGGGGAGTGGTCAACACACTGTGTGAGGGGAGTGGTCAACACACAGTATGGTGCTCGATCATAGTGGCCAGCGCATGCGTACTTGCCATGAATCCGGTCAGCGCATGCGCACTGACCATTAACCCGGTCAGCGCATGCGCACTGGCCATGAACCCGGTAGCCACCTGCCACAGCCTGGGGTGAGAGGGACGGCCAGGACCGGCGCCAGACATGGCAGGAGTGAGGTGTGATGAGGTGGGTGACACCCGTGGCAGGTGGTGGCAGCTGGGTGCCACCCGTGGCAGGTGGTGGCAGGTTACTGGCACCCGGGGCAGGTGGCAGCAGGTGGTGATGCCCCACCTGCTTCTCCTCCTGCTCCTGCTCAACTCTGCTGCAGCAGACAAGGTCGTAGAGAGTCTTCGAGACGGCTTCGGCTACTACTACAAGATCGCTGGCTACGCCCTCAACGACACGGCTGACTACCAGGTCGTCCAAGTTAACAGTAGCTGTGAGTACTTGTTGATGGTGGTGGGTCACTGTGAGTACTCTTCGTGGTGGGTCACTGTGAGTACTTGTTGGTGGTGGTGGTGGGTCACTGAGTATTTCTTGGTGGTGGGTCACTATGAGTACTTGTTGGTAGTGGTGGGTCACTGTGAGTACTTCTTGGTGGTAGGTCACTGTGAGTACTTGTTGGTGGTGGTGGGTCACTGTGAGTACTTCTTGGTGGTTGGTCACTGTGAGTACTTCTTGGTGGTGGGTCACTGTGAGTACTTCTTGGTGGTGGGTCACTGTGAGTACTTGTTGGTGGTGGTGGGTCACTGAGTACTTCTTGGTGGTGGGTCACTATGAGTACTTGGTGGTGGTAGTGGGTCACTGTGAGTACTTGGTGGTGGTGGTGGTGGGTCACTGTGAGTACTTGTTGGTGGTGGGTCACTGTGAGTACTTGGTGGTAGTGGTGGGTCACTGTGAGTACTTGGTGGTGGTGGTGGTGGGTCACTGTGAGTACTTGTTGGTGGTGGTGGGTCACTGTGAGTACTTGGTGGTGGTGGTGGATCACTGTGAGTACTTGGTGGTGGGTCACTGTGAGTACTTGGTGGTGGGGGTGGGTCACTGTGAGTACTTCTTGGTGGTGGGTCACTATGAGTACTTGTTGGTGGTGGGTCACTGTGAGTACGTTGGTGGTGGTGGTGGGTCACTGTGAGTACTTGGTGGTGGTGGTGGTGGTAGTGGGTCACTGTGAGTACTTGGTGGTGGTGGTGGGTCACTGTGAGTACTTGTTGGTGGTGGTGGTGGTGGTGGTAGTGGGTCACTGTGAGTACTTGGTGGTGGTGGTGGGTCACTGTGAGTACTTGTTGGTGGTGGTGGGTCACTGTGAGTACTTGGTGGTGATGGTGGGTCACTGTGAGTACTTGGTGGTGATGGTGGGTCACTGTGAGTACTTGGTGGTGGTGGTGGGTCACTGTGAGTACTTGGTGGTGGTGGTGGGTCACTGTGAGTACATGTTGGTGGTGGGGTCACTGTGAGTACATGTTGGTGGTGGTGGGTCACTGTGAGTACTTGGTGGTGGTGGTGGGTCACTGTGAGTACTTGGTGGTGGTGGTGGTGGGTCACTGTGAGTACTTGGTGGTGGTGGTGGTGGGTCACTGTGAGTACTTGGTGGTGGTGGTGGTGGGTCACTGTGAGTACTTGTTGGTGGTGGTGGGTCACTGTGAGTACTTGGTGGTGGTGGTGGATCACTGTGAGTACTTGGTGGTGGTGGTGGGTCACTGTGAGTACTTGGTGGTGGGGGTGGGTCACTGTGAGTACTTCTTGGTGGTGGGTCACTATGAGTACTTGTTGGTGGTGGGTCACTGTGAGTACGTTGGTGGTGGTGGTGGGTCACTGTGAGTACTTGGTGGTGGTGGTGGTGGTAGTGGGTCACTGTGAGTACTTGGTGGTGGTGGTGGGTCACTGTGAGTACTTGTTGGTGGTGGTGGTGGTGGTGGTAGTGGGTCACTGTGAGTACTTGGTGGTGGTGGTGGGTCACTGTGAGTACTTGTTGGTGGTGGTGGGTCACTGTGAGTACTTGGTGGTGATGGTGGGTCACTGTGAGTACTTGGTGGTGATGGTGGGTCACTGTGAGTACTTGGTGGTGGTGGTGGGTCACTGTGAGTACTTGGTGGTGGTGGTGGGTCACTGTGAGTACATGTTGGTGGTGGGGTCACTGTGAGTACATGTTGGTGGTGGTGGGTCACTGTGAGTACTTGGTGGTGGTGGTGGGTCACTGTGAGTACTTGGTGGTGGTGGTGGTGGGTCACTGTGAGTACTTGGTGGTGGTGGTGGTGGGTCACTGTGAGTACTTGGTGGTGGTGGTGGTGGGTCACTGTGAGTACTTGGTGGTGGTGGTGGTGGGGGGTCACCGGTTTAGCTTAATCAGCAGCGTACGAACCACATAACCAATTGAGGAAACATCAGCATTTTAATCTTTTAATATAACTATTGCACCAGAATTTGGCACTTTGGTCAATAACGTAACGATTACTGTGTATTAAATGTTTGTGGTAGATGGTATAGACGCTGTTTCCTGTACGTTAACAATGTTGAAATGTTAAAATTGATCAATGAGTCTGTTGGGGGTCGGCCGCTGGAGGGAATGAACACAGCTGGAGGACTGGCAGGAGTCAACCCAGCAAATAATTTAAGGTTGCCACAACATATCTGGAAAGTATTTCAAAGGATTGGAAACGTTTGTTTTATCGTATCAGATACGATATTGTGTGTGGACTTTAATAGGTTTCCAAAACTTATAACCAAAACCTACGTATCTAACACTAATTTGAGTTGTTGTGGCAACTTTACAATCCTAACATGAATCATTCATAATCCATTCATATACCAATATGAATCTGATTATGAATAAAACCAATATGAAGCCAGCGATCTTATAGTAGTAGCCGAAGCCGTCTCGAAGACTCTCTACGACCTTGTCTGCTGCAGCAGAGTTGAGCAGGAGCAGGAGCAGGAGGAGCAGCAGGTGGGGCATCACCACCTGTAAAAACTATTTGTAATACATTAGGAACAAAATAGTTGTAGAAAAACAATTTATTATAAAACCTTTGTGTTTGGGTTTTTTTATTAAAAGTTTCTCAAAGGCTCTCCATCACCATTCTCAATGCAAATCATTCCCACACCTATGGGAAGAGATAGACGAACGTTTTCTAGATGATTTGTGTTTGCTGGGAAGTGTTTTGGCTGCTGTACAGAATGAACTTCTGGTCATGTTGGTGGGGCGGACCGATAATAACACAGTAGATGTATGTGTATAGAACTCTTAAATGGCTTAAATAAAACATAAATATTGTTTAAAATGAAACGCAAATTGTGAAGCACTTTAGGCATTATTGTGATTGTCGTGACCGCACGCACCTTCACCTCCCGTCACGCTGCTTCCCACGCCACTCGTTTTAGTTATACCTAGCTGTCGTTGGTCTTGTTAGAAGTCATGACTTCACAATGATGTCAAAATAACGTGATATACCTATGAAAATAACATCTGCATAATCTACCACAAATATATTACAATCACTGCATAATATAACACAAAACATCGTAACACTGTATTATACAACACCAAGTATCATAACAGTATCCTAATACAAAACAAAAACATTGCGATGCTAAACATCACAACATTACATGATGCAACATATAACATCGCAATACCACATAACTCAACAACTTACTACAAACACTTGAACTAACATCACTTCCCAATACGACAGCTCATACGAAAACATCACGATTTCTCTGGAAATAAAACCTGCTGCTATCTGGCGTTGGAAGGACAATAACACTATAGTTTATTGTTTTGTAACAGTCAGGAAACGTTCCAGCAAATGTCAACAAGAAAGTGTAGTTGAGGCCGGTGTATATAGTGTTCTGTTGACCAGTCGTCGTGACAACAGAGTCGGGTGGGGACGATTACCGTAGAAGATTACAATTATTGGGGACTGTTGACATCACAGCTCACCCCTGACGCACATGGACCACAGAGGGAAGGGAAGGAAAGGAAAGGAAGGGAAAGGAAAGGAAAGGAAAGGAAAGGAAAGGGAAGGGAACTATTATAAAAAAGCACCAAACCATTACATGTTTATTTAGCACTTGGAAAGATCAGGATGAGGATTTGGGATGGGAGAGCGGAATGGAAAGGGGCGCCAACCACTAGGACGGTCGGGGATTGAACGCCGACCTGCACGAAGCGAAATATAATAGTGGAAAAAATTGATTGGTTAGAAAGGTGGGGTCCAAGAGCTAAATAGCCCGATTCTGCAGACACAAATAGTAAATAAACACACACACACACACACACCAGCAAAGAGGCATGTTGGACAAATACACAACCCGCAGTTAGTATCGGATAAAATATCTGAAGAGAGAGCTGAAGGGTATGAGTGAACACTGTATGAAAGACAGATGAAATATGCAATAAATGTGATGGTGAGCTAAGAAAAAGAGAGAACTTGCTAAACCGAGAAAAGAACTACAGAAAACTCAAACCAAGGAGGCAGTTAGCAGTGACAATGTCAGTAGTAGTTAAAAACCACAGAGGACAAATTATAGGACATTAAACCCTCAAAATGGGAACACATGGGTCCCTTTTGCTACGAAAAATAAGGCAAATGAGAAGAAAATTGTGGATCACGCTCTGCAAAAAGCAAACTCCCAAACTATAAAAACCCATACAAGGAGAATAATTCAAAAAGAGACAACATAGAATTTAAAGGAGAACACTTGGGTAAAGAAAGGTAATCAACTATACACATCCTTGGACCAATATGCCAATACGAGGCTGCGAGAGAGACTTGGCAGAAGTTTACAGACTAGGGTCATATGCAACAGCACAAGAACAACGTACGACTATACCACTAAAAGTAATATTTATAAATGAGGGGGCACAAAGATTTCTGACGAGACGCAAAGGTAACCTGAGGGACAAAGGAAGCTACACAGATGTATGACTTGAATATGAAATGAATAAAGACTAAATGAATAGGAAGATAAAACAGGGAGCAGGGAAAGAGAAGCGGGCTACAGAAGTAACCCGTGCTACTTCCTAGCGACCTCAGGAGCAACGAACCCAAAGAAATAGCGTAACAGAGAGAGGAGTGGGATGGAAAACAGGAGCAGCCAGGGAAATAGTTACAATCAAGAAAATAGTACTGATAAAGCGTAATTAACCCGAGCTCCACAATCATATCCTCGCCCCAGTATAACCTAATAACCTCAAAAGAACCATCTACTGCTACAACTCATTCCATTTCCAACACTCTTCCATCACTGTCCTCTTCTCTACCTCACAAATTTCTGTTCTACAGAATATATCCAAAGCCCACTCACTACCAGCAAGTCCCCCTTGTTCTCTCCCATGTAACAGATACCTCGAAAACCACCTCTATCACTGATCTCCACTCCCATGCACTCTCCACCAACCATTCATCTAACCCTTTCCTCACCTACTTCACCTGAACC